AGTCAGAAACCGCTGCATTAACGCATTTTGCACCAGTAACGCATTTTGCACAGATGTGCTTAAAATATTTTTGCCCAAACTGTGTTATCACTTAAACTGCTGTGATGGGTACCGTACTTGCATCCATTAACAACTACAGGTACAAAATGCACTACTGTGCAAATTACAATTTGTAAGTCTGACTCTTATCTGACTTACAAATTTTGTAATTACAAAATGTAATTTTTTTCCCCTCAAATTATTTCAATGCTTTTTAGAGACCATATCTTAGCAAGTAACTTATTTATAAATCTAAGCCTCACTGAACATCAGTTTTACAACTGATGCAAAAGCAAAGTGCGACTTAGTTCACTTTCCCATCCTTGATTTTGTTGTGGAAAGGAGCTGAAAACACTTTTTCCACTGACATTTTTATTAAAAAAGAAACAAATATAAACCCAAATGCATAATGAATTTGCTGAATAAGATGCAATCAATTTTCTGATCAGTGCTATCTCCTTAAATGGGTGGTTCAGAGGAAAAGTAATCATTTTTAAGCCCAAAACAATTGTTAACATACTGAGAGCTGTTCTGTTGCAAAGGCCAAGATGACAAATGCTCAGTGTTTTTGTAAATTCATTATATGCACACACACTCTCTGCACTGATGAGAAGGCATTTTGACATAACCTCCATTTTGCATTTTCTTAGCTATTCCAAAAGTACCCTAATGTTTTCGCACCACTGAGAACTCAGTTTGTACTAGTTCAGTCACATACTCTGGCAGTTACACAGTACGTATTCTCAGCTGCAAGTAAACTGCCTGAGAAAATATAAAGGGAAATAATAATGACAATTACAATTATAACTACAACAGTAACAACTTTCAAAGCCCTATTCTCCCACCATAACACCAAGAGCCCTCAAAAAGACGGCATTAACCTCACCTTGTATCTGGGAAGCAAGGTGAGACCCAGGGCTGAGGTGTTGGAACTGCTACAGCCTGACTCAAGAATTCCTGTCTGCAAACCCTTGGTTTTGGGCAGCAGCCTCTGGCTACTTCTGGTCTATTCCCTCAGAGCCTGAAGTTGAAGCCTAACTTAATAGACACCTGCAGGCATCTTTCATTAACTTTGTCCGGGAAACAACTGTGCAAATGGAAGAGAAAGCCAGCCCACAGCCCGCTTTTATCTTTGCCACTTTATCTATTTCCCACATTGTCCAAATGGCCAAAACACTGTGCATACACCAAACACGGGGATACTGAGGTTTCCAGACCTCTGTATGTATTTCTTTTGTAGTTTCATGACTGCACTACCTCTACCCTGTCACTGAGTACTCCTCCTCGCTGCACGGGCAGTGTGAGGAGATCCGGGGATGCTTTTCCCTATCTATCTGCTTGGCCTCTGCACAAGTGTAGGGTGGCACAGGCTCCCCCGGAGCATCATCCATCTAACGTGATGTGCTGCAAGCTCACCACAGCCAGCAGCACCATGAGAGAAGGGAAAATATTCCAGTTTAAGCTTTCTGGGACAGAGCAGGGAATAGCACCTCGTTCTCATGATGATCAGCCCTGTTCTGCTCATCAGATTTCACAACCCCATGTAGAAAACAAAGTATATCTAGTTGCCTGTCTCTACGGTAGGATCAGGTCCGAAAGGGCTTCCTTAATAAAACAGTAAGTTCTTGCATGAATATTCTGCTGCTACCTTTAAACAGCACACACTACAGCACAAAAGATAACAGAACAACAAGCAGATGCAAAGCTAAACCCACAACTCTGTCTCTTGATTTTCTGGAGTATTATTTTTTCCTTTAAAATTCCAGTCTTTCATCAAAATTTGTGACAAATAATCAGGAAATAATAGTTTTTAATGCACCGTGATAACTGGAGCAGCATAAGTGCTGTCTTATATTTTAGAATAACTGACTTTACTTTCTAAAAACTTTTTTCCTTTAGTGACAAGCTGTTGGGGTCTTTGGTTCTTGTTCTTTAAAGTTATTTTCTGAATTCTTTTAAAGTGACACAAAGATAGAGAAGTAATTAAACTCCTCTTCAGAAATGTTAACTTTTTCAGCATATGTTGATGATTTTTTATTCTGAGGAAAAAGATGACTTTAACCATTTAATAACTAACAAAAGTTTTGATATGAAGAGCCTCCATGTGCTACTGTAAAGTACAATCTGATTTGAACATCATATTATTGAGATTACTACAAATTTCAGAGGACTAACAGAAATATCAACTGCAACAATCAAGACTCCTCACGAACACCTGCTTCGGGACTTAATTTTGCTTTAATGGGCTATTACCAAGGCTTCTCTAACAAACTCCTTCATCCTCCCCCAAAATCAATTCTGGATCAATACAGACACACATGCCCTGTGCAGAGCCTTCTGTTCTTAGGACAGGATTAAAAGAGTCGTTAGTTTTAGGATAGCTTGGCTAAAAGATGGAAATTAAAAAAAAAAAAAAAAAAAAGAGAAGATGCATATGTCCCATGCAGTTTAGATCTCTTCTGCTTAACAAACTCAGCATTTGCAAAGGTTTGACAGAAGGGATGCAACTTTTTATTGATTATCACAGTAATAAGGCTCTAAAGAACCCCAAAGCACGTTGCTCAGTCTCGGTGAATGATCGATTAAAAGCCTGCTTGAGAGCCTGCTTCCACCAAAATTCACTGCTATTTCTCAGTGAAACTGAGGTAGTAGAAAACAAGGGCAGACAAGCAGTTTTTAAAAACAACTCTACTATTTCAACCAAACAAGTGCAAAAACTCCAAACAGAGCAGATGTCAATGAAGGAATACTATGAAAAAAGTTTCTATTTTCTCTAAGTTAATCCTGAGTTCATCCTAAGTTAATCCTTATTTTTCTTTAACTGAAAATAAGACACAGGAAAAGTCTACAAAGAGTTATAAATTCATTAGTTAAAACCCAATAGCAGATAAATAGCCTTAAAGGGCATTTAAACTGTTGCACAATGCAAAAACATGCATTAACCACAATTATATTTAGTCTACAATTTGATCATGTTCTTACAGCTTCCTAGAACAGGATTTAAAAAAATATTTCCTTCAGCATGAAACACAATGCTGTTCAAAGTAAAGAAATCAAGACATTTTTCTACCAAACACATAGATTTATTGCACCAAGTGCTAATGAATATTGTTCGTACAAAGGAAAATACTTCAGTTTTTCATGCAGTTAATAAGACTAAACAGTCTACTTTTTACTACAAAGCCACTTTAAAAGTAGTAAACGGTGTTTTCTCTATCTACCTAGTTACATCAGATTCATCTGCGTTTTGGACAACTGCATACTGGAAATCTGGTCGCAATAGAAAAAGGACATTACGTTGGTACCACAAACTGTGTATCTTTATTCTTTAATAATGTGATCTTAAAGAAACACAGAGAATGTATGCTCTGTATGCGTCAGTTTGCTTGTCTGACTTTAGAACAAATAACACGGAAAACATTTCCAAGTGTTTGTTGGTATTTTGGGCTCTTTTTGAGAAGTGATATCTGCTTTTCTTACTTGAAAGCAAAAGAATAAATTCTAAAAACAGGCAATGATTTAACCCTGAGGGAGCAGATATTGCTCCCTGATTACTTCTCACAAACATATTGATTAGATCAACTTTTTGGATACAGAATATTCTTTCTTGCATAGATACACCCTTGAATTTTCAGTCTTTTTTGCTTTGCACAATCAGAAACGACACAGTTTTCACTTAAAAGACAGTAACTCTACTAAAGGTAAGCATTTTCCATACAGATTTACACTTCTATTTTCACAATATTTTGCCCAAGTTTCTGAGCAAACAGAGTTCACATTTACTGATAACAAGGACTCACACAAATTCTTTGTATGTAAGCAGAGACACAGCTTTAAGATGCAGAAAATACAATGACGACATTTCAGAAGGGAAACTTTCTTATCTAGCTCACTGGTGAATAGCAAATGAACTTAATAGCCCCAGAAAGCAGAAAACAAGCAATATATTTGCAAATGTCTTTTATAGATCAAGAAAAAGTGCTTGGAAATCCTCATTGCTCACAGAAACCCTTAGAATCACCTAGCAACCTATGTTACTGCTGCTTTCAATTTTGAACAGGCAGCCTTCACGTTCAAAGCTGTATCTGAGCCAACTGATACAACTGTAAGTTTAAAGCAAAACAAAAACAAAAACAGAGATTATTGGTTTTTTGTTATTTAAATAAATTGCCCCTACCTTTCTTCTGAGAGTACGATGGCGACTGCACTTGAGAAAAAGTAGGTTTTTCTTCGGTGAAATATTCAGGTTGGTTGTACTGATTCAGGGCCATGTCCATGTCAGAGTACTCGCTTTTAAACACGTTTCCAGGGTAACTACAGGTATAAGGCTGATTCACCGCCCAGGCCTGTTCCATATATATGTTGTTACTGTGCAGGACCTGAGCATCACAACTGCTGTAACCCTGATTTTCTTCGATATATGTGCAATAATCAGTGGACTGCATGTAGCAGTTGCTACCAGCAGCTGGGTGCACTTCATATATTTCTTGCATACAGTAGTTCATTTTGTTACCCTATCTCAGCTTCTACTTTACGTACACACACACATGCATACACACGCAGGCATGCATACACATGGAACGGGAGAGGAGCAATGAATATACACCAACAAAGTCAACCGCAAAACAGCCCGTTTTACTTTGGAGCAGCACCTGATGTGCTAAAATCCTATTTATATTGGGACGGCTTGTGAACTCCCCTGCCAGTCAAACATATTGGGAAGCAGATTTATGACAGTCAAAGGTCTTAATCTGTGACTGTAAGTTAATTCCAAGGGAAGATGGCAGGCAGGTAGCAATGACCACCAGACAAAGAAGCGACGTCCCGACAACCCTCCTGTTCCACCGTTCGTCTGGAATAATCATTTTAAAAACCATTTTCAGCCTTTTCCAATATGATTAGAAAATGATTACTAAGGCGAGGACACAGTTATGTCACTGTAGTTGTCAACTTAAGTGTGAAGCATTATAAAGACTGCTTAAGAACTCCCAGAGGGGATACACTGAAAATCCTAAAATCAATAATCCTGTTTTTCAGCATTAAACCATAGAAAATCCAATAGTGCTGTGCTGATGACCCAAACAGTAGTCTAGTTTTACAAAATTTAGCAACTTAATCTGTCATCAGCTTTATTGATTTTGCTTTACAGAATTACATGCATGAATCTCTCCAGCCTTCCACACATATACAATCCTCCCCACTGCCTGGTAATGCATTTATGGGAAAGCAGCTTTTCTAAACTTCAGTGATTCAAGAAGGTAATTTCTATTGAGTTCAACAGGTGTGAAACTTCAAAATAATATAATCAGCAAAAAGAACACTGCTTAAATATTATCAATAAGCTAATCGCTTTGCTATTCTGCTTTGTTATCTTTTCTGTTTCAGTAACGAAGTACTTTTAGAAATATATCTTTTTCGACAACAGACTGAGTAGAGTAAGGAGGGTTTTTTGCTCGTTTTGTCTCACCTATGAGCTATGAACATGTCAATGCCACTAAAAAAAACCCATATGATCTTATACTTGCTTAACGCACTCCAAACCTCGATATGGTTCATATGCCTTGTTTCATCAGTCATTCTTTTGATCTACAAAAAATTACTTTATTTTTAACTTACATTAGCTGCTATTTGTATTTTACTAGACAAAATATGTTTTTTCTTTACAGCACAGCTAAAATACGGTAAAACTTGTGAAGCAGTAACAAGACGGTATCCTTCTTTAATGTCTGGTCTTACTATTAGGAAGCAGAATTATTACTGATTTGATAACAAGGTCTTAGTTTTCTTATTTCACTCATTTAAAAAAATCTACAGGATTGCCAAAATTACCACGTAGGTTAGTCCTTTTTCATCTAGGGTCTTAAATATACATCTAACAACCTTGATGAACATACAGCTAAACGGTATTCAAAAGCTCAGTAAAATAGATAAGAACTGGGCATGACAGGTACACATTTCTCCCTATTCGATATTGTTTAATGTTTCAGTATAACGCAAAGAGCCAATGGAGAATACAATCATAACCAATCTATATACATAAGAAGCATGACAATTAGTATTTAATGTGCGGGCTAACAGAATTCAGCATAAGCGCTTCTGAGAATCAGAGAAGTTAAAATTCATGTTTGGATTTTTAATTTTTCTTTCCTCTAACTATAAAAGAAGCATCTTTAACACACATTCCTTATTAACTTGCTCAGAAAATAATAACGCATTTGGTAAGTCAAAATGAACTCTATCAAGATCAATTCTATGGAAGCCAATGAAGTTGCTTTCAAAATGAATTTAAGCTGCTAAAACTCTGATAATTTTAACTAACATCTTACTTTATTAAAAGCACTAACAGTTACTGAAATCCCAGAAGTAAACCACAAATGAATCCTCATTCTCCATGTTGTTTTTACCAAAGATCTAACTCAACAAATAGAATTGTGAAATACAATGTGAAACAGCACACAATAAAAGTTAATTTTCATTTTAGCTCAGCACCATGATTTAGATGTTACAAACAGTGATTTTGCCTGTGATAAAAAGAATGTCTTAGGTAAGATCCGATTTTTCAAGAATGGATGTTCAGCACTTCATAAAAAACATGCCCATGTTTCCTAAGAAACTCTTTCTAGTTGTTTACACAGAAACCCCCAAGCCATACCCATTTATGTGATCGGTTGGTAATACTGTAGTACACACAGACGTAACACGGACAACCCGCTGAGCCTACTTCTCCACACTCCCCAGAAAGAAAACACTCCAGAACTGCAATACGTGGGTTGTTCATTTACTACAAAATCATCTCCTGTACAGCTAACAGGAATTTATGTTAGAGCTTGCAGAGGGGTGAGGCTGTATTTTACAGGTTAGCAGAGCAGAATACCTAGACACTATCACACCACCCAGAAAAGCTTTGGAGAACTAGGCTTTAAATTATCAGTGGGAATTTTTCCCCATGTGGATTTGTTTTATCACGAGTCAAAATTCATACGAATTTTCTCTTCTTTTCCTCCAAGTTGATTTAGGATTTTTACTGAAAAACTAAACAGAACTGAGACTGTGTAAGCAGAGCCGTCCCAGCCAGGATGGCACCTGAGGATATGGTATCTCGACGTGGCACAGACTGCGATTTACTGACAGTTACAAAATAAATCTCCCAAACATTTCTCATTTTCTAATGCTATGTCAATAATGCTTAGAAATGTGTCACATGCACTACTTCTGTCAGAATTACTGTAATACTGAAAGGAAATTAAATTACATGAAACCGTGAAGAATGAAGATAAAAAGAAAAATGGATGAGGGCCTTTTCTGACAAAAAAAAAAAAGAATGATAAACACTGCCAGGGAACGAGGGTTTCTTACCTGTAATTTGCTGACATTAAAGAGGTTTACAGCACTGCAGATTGTTGTTCCCTTGGAAACAAATCAGTTCAAAAAACACTACAGAGATTTAACATCCCTATTAAAACTGAAATATTCCTAAAATATTTTTGGTTTAATCTCTTAGGGTCCAATCCTGCAGGTCCCTTTCATGTATCACTTTGAATTAAATCATTTGATAAAAGAGAGCCAGATGAGGTCTTCACCGAAAGTCTGGAAGTGGAGTAGAATGTAATACTAACAGCCTTTCTTTGTCTTGTATTCCGATTTGAATATTAGAGTCTTTAAATCACATCATGTTGAGCTTTCGTTGCCTTCAGCAATGTAGTATCGCACTTGGAATTTTATTAGTTCACAAGTGTCTGATTATGTGAACACATGGAAATTAATCACTAGCAGAATAAAACCTTTGGTGCAAGCAAATGGATCCGTGACAAAATAGAAACTTTGATACTGCGGCAGAAGAGGATCCAAAGTTTGAACTCTTCACAGCCTGAGGCGTCAACTCCTTGCATTAAAAAAGGCAAAAATTACTGGCTGAACATGAGTCTTGAACGTCCCAAAGGTTTTGAAATACTCACCCTGGTGTAAACCAGAAGCAAGTGTAGTGCAGTCAGTGATGTTAAACAGGGTGGGCAGAAGTCAGGCCGAGAATGCCTGAAAGGAGGTGTCTGCAGCAGAGACTGCCTTACACTAGACCATCCAACTGTTCGTCAACTCCTGTTTCAAAAATTCTGACTAAAACTTTTAATTATGAACAATCAAACGCCCCACTAAGATGCACTTCTCTTGTGTTTTCTAGTTACAAAACCCACCAAAACAAACCCACAGAAATGTTAAGGCAAGACAGTATTCCTGTGGATGATCCTCCTGACAGTACACTCCAATTGACCGAGATCCCCAACACCCAAAAAAGAAGTGTCATTCAGCGCAGTCCACTCTGTTGTGTACCTCTGCTATCTACATGAATGTGTAGGTGGCACATTACCCACAAGAGTCATATTTTCCTGACTGTTTCCAAACTGTGCACCCCTGGTCTGGAGTTCTGGCTGTATCAGGTAGGACCCTCACGCGCCACTTCCAAGAGATTCTGCAGTGTCAGTACGTGGGAAGCGTTGCAGAGGATTCAAATTAGTCAGGGCAGAGTACCACTTCTAAAGGACCAAATGGAAACCTCTTACTGTGGTTGTATTCACACTTTATGCACATGGATGAATAAAAATCCAGTATTCGGTCAAAAAGTTTTGCACATTTGAACATGTAGTTGTGAAGATTAAACATACCTTTCTAAACTCTTAACAGTTATGTACACTTGCATTACCAGCTCCTCGTTTTTTAATACATATTTTTACATGTTACAAAACAACTGTTTTATTTTCTACTTAAAGGTTTTCTTCTTGCCTGCGTTCTCTTAGCCACCTCTGATGAAGGTTATGGGGAAAAAAAAAACCAGTCCACTGCTCTTCTGCACTTTCAGGACTCACACCAGATAACATTAGACACATCTCAGACAGTCAATATCTTTTCGTATCATAGAGAAAATATACTGAAAACTGTAACAGCTTTTGAGCTGAAGTACTAATGTGGCTCTTGCAACATGCATTGTTTTCAAATACAGCCATCCCTGTGTCCACATGATGAGTTATCACCTCTCTTTAATGTATATATTTGCACTGCCTTATTCATTCACTTCACGTACTATGATCAGAGGCTCAAAAATATGACTATGAAAACTTATTGTTTCAGGAATCTAGGTATCAGTTTATCACATCAGTTCTGATACTCCTGAGTCTTTAGTGTTATAGATCAGACTAAGAAAACCTCAAACATTAGAATACAAAATAACATCGAGCACTTACCAGAACAGAAAATTAACTCTATATACTATTTATCTTATTTTGAAAACTCTACTTGTGACTAAATCATAAAGTATGTAGAATTATGGAATTCTGGTGCTGTGAAATTACAATAGCATTTGACAGTTCCTGCAGTATGTTTCAGTGGAATCAAAGACATTAAGAATTGTCATTTTGTCTGCACTATATTTATTATAGCAAGTGATACAATTGAGGGAAAAAGAGCTAAAGCTTTCTGTCATAAAATCATTTCTTTGGATTTGCAACAGATGCAGCAAGCTTCAAACTAGCTGT